AAACCCAGGACTCCTGGGTCTTAGCTCAGCATCTCAACTACACAACCACCCATTTCCTTAGCAGGGTACAAAAGAGAATCATCCTGCTTCTAAAGCTTCCCTCTGAGCCATTTGAGTTCAGCTACACTAAAAACAATCCTACTGTTTATCCAACTTCAAGACCCCAAGCTCATCTGTACTAGACGCATGAAATCATTTTCTTTATTTTTATTTAAGGAGGTGGCTTCGTGGTACAGTTCATGCTCTGAACTTCCTACATGTGCTATTTGCTGTGGGGGAAACAACACTTTTTTTTTCTGATTTTGCTCAGTCCTCGTGCTTTGGGTCACACTTCTTTTTTTTTTCTTCAAGGGATGGTTCCTCTTGTGCAAAATTTTCTCTAGCTCTCAGAAGTGCTTCTCCTTCCCCAAACTGTTACCCTTCCTTTTTAAAACTATCAAGATGTTGCTTTCAAAAGATTGTGGGGGGAGATGGCAGAACCACGCTGTGGTCTTGAATAAGAAGCTCCATGAAATTTACTTTTCTCAGTGCATTGGTGGACATACAAATGCATGCACACATCTAATAACGGTATTGATTTTTACAGGATTTAACCCATTGCATATTTAATGCAAGTTGTATACAAGTGTTTGTATAGTGGTGATGCTTTATGTGCCTAACAATACAGCACTATTGACTAAAGTTGTTTTTTTTTTTTTTTATAGGGGTATTTCTGAACTTCATTCCATTCACTGTGCTTCTGTACATGCCCCCAAAATGCATACATGGGCATTCCAAGTTCAGTTCACTTCACAGCAAGTGGAACCTCATGCATTCCCCTCCCCACGCAACCATTGACTAGTATAGTAGATTATAAATTATAATACACATCACTTGAAGGCACTGCACAGATGCAGCTGACTGTTTCATAGAAGTCTGACACCCCCTCCTCCCCCCCAAATAGAATAGCAGTCCCTGTCACTTGCATGATCAGGGGGCAGCAGGGCAGGCCCTACAAGGAGATGCTACAAGACCTGAACCTGTTCAGCCTTCACAAGAGAAGGCTATGGGGGGATCTGGTGGCTATCTATAAATTGGCCAAGGGAGACCAGTGGGGAATGGAAGAGTCCATGTTCCCCTGAGCACTACTGGGAGTAATGAGGAATAACGGCCATAAGTTGAATGAGAGTAGATTCAGGCTGGATATCGGGAGGTACTACTTCACGGTCAGGGCAGCTAGGATCTGGAACCAACTTCCAAGGGAAGTGGTGCTGACTCCTACCCTGGGGGTCTTTAAGATGAGGCTAGACAATCACCTTGCTGGGGTGGTTTGACCCCAGTACTCTTTCCTGCCATGGCAGGGGGTCAGACTCGATCTGCTCAGGTCCTTTCCGAAACTATGCCCTAAGGAACTTAAAACTTCCCCTTTTGCCACCTTTTTGTCTTCTATTCAGCTGCTGCTGTATTTCAGTAAGTTTCTATTCCTCATTTTCCAGGAAAAAGTGTTTTTAAGGTTAGAACTACACTAGGGTTTGGTTTTGGGTTAGTGCGTGTCTTTTTCCTTTTTCCTTCCAACTCCTCATGGTGTCTTTTTTTTTTCTTGAGTAACCATTGAAGGACTCTTCCTAGATTTGTCAGTCTCTGCTCAAATAGGTATAAAGACTTTGAATACCAAGTTATTGATGGATCATCTTTAGTCAACGCCCCACCCCTCCACAGTAGCCTTTTTGAATGATGTGGATTAATGCACTTGCTCTGCACCCTGGTCAAGAACTGTGTGGGGTTTTTTGTGCGTTTTTTAACTTCTGATGCTCCTTAACACTTTCCTAATCTAAAGTCCCTGAAAATGTCTTAAGGGGTTTTTCAGTGGATAAAGTGTTTACTCTGGCATGGTCTGCACCCCTCTTCTGTTCCCAAACCTTTGCCCCACCACCTCAAAATCTATCTAACAACTTGGTCCAAGCCCTATACTTCAGTTCTTTGCAATCACTGAAATGAATGAACTTTCCAATTACAGTGGCAACTGGAGGGGGGTGGACCTACTAGCTGCAGTGACAGTTTCCCTTTTTACACTATCTGAAATGTAATGATGAACTAACTTGGAAACATTTTCTGCAACCATTCTCTGTAAAAACAGTAGGGCAGTCTTCCTGTTGGTGAGTAGTGGGTTTATGCCTATTAAGTGCTTTGTGCTTGGCCTGCTGGCTACTTTTGAGATGGTGCTGTCACATGGTTACCACTGGCACGGTTCTTTTTATGAGGATTGCTAGCAATTTCTGTTTAAACCACAGGGACTAAAGTGGCAGACCCAGTTCTCTCTATTTTCTTGTAAGTCCTCTGAGGCAGTAAGCCAGGGTGCTCCTCCACCCTGCCTCATGGCTCCAGTGCTCAAAAAAATTTCCACTACATGGTGTCAGTCTGTCAGAACTTTAAAGGAACCAGATGCTGAACGTTGCTTGAAGGCCACAATGCTGTACAAGAGATGGACAAAGAAGCAAATGTTAATCACGAGGCATTTATGCATGTGTGTGGGGGGGGCACTAATTACAGTGGCTCCAAGAGTTGCTTTACTTAAAGCACGTTGGTTATCAGATGCATCGGTGTCACCATGCTGAAAAATGGCAGTGGGGATGCTTTTAAATAAGCTCATTCAACACACTTTAGCTGAAGTACTTCCACCACTTTTCAGCATGGGGACACTGATGGATGTGATGCTTGTGTGGTAATTGCCATACCTGTAATTGCAATGTGTTGGAGCAGCCTCACTGTATACAGAGGGGCCCACTCAAACTACATGTAAAAGCTGCAGTGCTATAGATTCATACATGCTAGGGCTGGAAGGGACCTCAACAGGTCATTGAGTCTGACCCCCCTGTCCTGGGCAGGAAAGTGCTGGGGTCAGATGACCTCAGCCAGATGCCTATCTAGCCTTCTTTTAACGACCCCTAAGGTAGGGGTGAGCACCACACCCTTGGAAGCCCATTCCAAATTCTGGCCACCCTTACCGTGAAGTTCTTCCTGCTCTGTCAGTTTGTGACCATTGTTCCTTGTTACCTCAAGAGGTGCCCTGGTGAACAGAACATCTCTGGTTCCTTGCTGCCCTCCCCTAATGAATTTGTAGGCAGTCACAAGATCACCTTTCAGCCTCAGCAAGAGAGCTGGGGAAATCTAGTTCCCTTAGTCTCTCCTCATAAGGCTTGGCCTGCAAATCCTTAATGACACAAGTGGCCCTCTAGACCCTCTCCAGGTTATCTACATCCTTCTTAAAGTATGGTTCCCAAACCTGGATGCAGTACTCCCAACTGCAGTCTGACCAATGCTGCATAGAGAAGAAGTATTCACCTCCTTGGATCTGCTTGTCATGCATCTGCTGATGCATGATATAGTGCAGTTAGCTTTTGCAGTTAGATTTGTCATCACACTGACTTGTGTTCATCTTAGAGTCCTCTATGACTCCAAGATCCCTTTCTGCTTCTGTGTTGCTAAGGGTCATTCCCCAGCCAGTCAGTGTGTTGGATATTTTTGTGCCCTAGATGCAGCACTCTGCACTTGTCCTTGTTGAACTGCATCCTATTGTGTACTACCCACTCCAACCTATCCAGATTTGCCTGCAATCATTCCTTACTCTCTGGTGTGTTCACTTCACCCCCACAATTTAGTATCGTTTGCAAACTTGGACAGAGTACATTTCATACCCACATCCAAATCACTGAAGACATTGAAGAGTACAGGTCCAAGGACAGCCCTTGTCCTTCCAGGTCAATAGCGGCCCACCCACCACCACTCTCTGGGTGCAACACCCCTGCCCCCCAGCCAATTTGCCACCCACCAGACTGTGTAATCATCTAAGTTGCAGCCTCTTAATTTCATTATGAGAATGGGATGAGATATTAATCTTCTTCATCCTCTTCAACTGCCTTTTGGCTTTAACCTGAGATCTTGAAAGTAGACCATTCTGGCTTCTCACAGGCTGCTTTTGCACTGTTTCTTGACTAGCTATATTCCATGATGTCAATCCTTAACTATACATCTGCTTCTATAGATTTGTAATGTCACTTAATGACCATTGCGTTCTTAAAGGCAACTGTCACTTCTACACAGACTGATCATAAGAATGAGTGATGGGGAATAGCTGTAGGAAGACTCTCTCTTGTTCCTGGATGGTGGCAGAAGCTAACGGATAATCTCACATTTTTATAAGAGGCAATGAAGAGTCAGTTGCTAGCCGTTCCCTACAGACAGCTATATCATGGCTGTCTTGGCTTCCACTTAGTAAAAAACTTGTCAAAAGTGGATTTCCACTATGCTAATGCTGCAACTGTCACTTGTATGTACCTATTATCCCTGTATGGCACTAGTGTGAAAAAAAACTGAGGCGATGCTTATCTGGGTTTTGGCCCAGATCTGACAATATTTCTGCCTGCAATCTCTTTCCTGAATACAAATGCCCTATTCTGATGGTGGTATACACTACACTGTACCCATTGTACATTAACTTCTTGCATGAGTCTCTTGACATGTATCATGTTGGCCAGCCAGGCAGGCAGACCAGATGGTGACAACAACATGAATGTCTGCTTGTTCTTCCCACCTCTTACTAACATTAAGTGGACTTGTCTAGTTTGGCTTCTGATTTTTGTCGGGGGTTGGGACAGAAGGCCAATGTGGCTTTTGTGAGAAGGGAAACTAATGCATCACAAAGGCTGTTAACTTTTTTTTCAGCTCATAAGATTTGTGTCATTTCACCACCATGTTGCTCAAGTTATTTTAAAAAGCAGAAGCTTTTTGCTCCCCACACTTCCCCCTCAAGCACTACAGAGAAGATGTCTTGGCTCTATTTCCTCTCTTCTTCTATCCCCAAAATGGCTTTAAATTCTTCATTGCAATGTATCTGAACTTCTGTCACTTAAACATAAGAGGCAATTGTATTTCCTTATCTGGCAGGTTTAGTCATGAGTTGTGTGTGGTGGTTTTTTGTTTTTGTTTGTTTTTTAAAAAATAATCTTTACCTTCTCAAGCTTTTATTGAAGCTTGACCCATCCCATTCTGCAAAACTAATTGCCTTGCTTGCTCACATTCTGGATCAGGAAGGAATTTTACACTGGTCAGATTGGTGCAAACAGGTTTTTCTGTTCTTGTCTTTTGGAGGCAAGTGCTATGGCCCACTTGTTTGGATCTCTTCAGTATTGTATCCCACAGTTGTGAGGGTTGTTATCAACAGCCCTCTCCCCCCTACTTTACCTGTGGCATGTAAGGATACTTCTTAAATCATGAATGCCATGTGACCCCAGAGGTTGGGGGGGCATGGCGAGCTCGCAGTGGTGGCAGCGGTCATGAGCTCCAACAGGCAGCTGTGGTGCTGTGAGTGGTGGGTGGGGAGGGGGGTGGCAAGTGCCAACCAGTGGGCAGTGATGACCTGCAGATGCTGCCAATGGCAGCAGCCAGTGGCAATCAGGGACTGCTGGCAGACAGTCAGAAGGTGGGGGTGGTAAGCAACAACTGCACATAGGTGCCACCGGCAGTGTCAGCAGCATTTTTTCTTTTTTTGCAGGGGTGCACTACCAATCTCGTGGGGTGCATGTGCACCTTAATGCACCCCCTACACATCACCAATGCTTTTAATATTTTTAGGTGTGCAGCAGGATTATGTAGTTCTAGAAATAGGTTGGACAAGGACTTCTGTAGAATAGTTTGGATATGGATTATTCTGCTTCAATCAGGGAGTTGCACTAGATGCCCTCCAAAGGTCCTTTGATCCCTATTTTTCTATAATTCTGTCTTTCTATGGCTGTAAAAACTCTGGGTGCCTATACACATGCTTGGAGGTGCTGGTGTTTTAGAGTAGTTCCCAGGCAGCCATTTCAATTAAAATGTCTCGTCATATGTATTAAGCCCCCTGCATATTTAAAAATGGCCACAGATAGCAAGAAAGTACCCCGCAATCATCTAAAAATGTGCAGGGGCTTAATGCCCAAGATGCTGGAGCACTGTAATTAGAATGTGTAGCGGACTTAATTTAATGGAGTCTGCCCTGATGTGCTCTAGCTAAGACACCAAGGAGCATGTGTATAGGCAGCCTCTTAGGGAGAGAAATCTATGAGCAGATGAGATTCTCGTCTTCCCTATAGAATACTGCAGGTCACCCTAACTCGCGCACACTCTTTTCCCCCCTGCACCCCCTCCCCAGCTGGGTAAAGATGACTTGAAATTTCTGTCCCTTCACTTGCTAGTTACTTCAGAAACAGCAAATCTGGCTTTTCTAGGATTGCTTCCTGAGGCAATATCACTTCATATTTGCTTAAATCCTTTCCCTTCCTTTATTTAAACCTGTATTTGGAGAGAGCCTTGTTTTAACAGTTTAGTGACCATTTTAAAAAGAGGTTGCTGAAGCATCCTTCCTGCGTGCATCCATTCTCTCAACTCTTCTTGGGTGCAGACAGAGGAGCTGCTCCCCATTGCAATTCGTAGCACTTTGCAGGAAGTATTAAGAGTTGCAGCAATTCCCCCGAGCCCAACAGAAGCTTGCTGTTTGGTCTGGGAGTTGGGGATTGCAGCTTCAAGCCTGCAGCAATGCCACTCCCCCTGCCCAGCCCAGGCACTGTGTGCAGGATGGGAGGGGGAAAGGGAGCAGAGGGAGCTTGTTCTTGGGGTTCCCCAGCCGTGGAGCTCAGCAGGCACAAGTTACAGAATGCCCTCAGTATTGGAGCATGTTTGTCTGAACCCTCATGCAATGAAGGTTTGGATGGTCACAGGATTGGGCCCTTTTAAAGCAGTCTGCAGCCATGCACTTCTGTTTGGTCACAGCTGTAGACTGCTTTCCGGGGCCAGATTGCATGAAAACTGTCACTTATGGCTGTGCATCTCTTGCATTCCATTTGGCAACTCTCTCTAGCTACTGTAAAAATCCTGATTTACCTCTGCCCTGCAAGGATCCCTTAAAAACAAACAAACAATCTCCCAAATGCCCTGTTCATTCCTTCATAGGCAGAAGGACACATGCCCTATATCCACCCTATTTCCAGCCCTTTGCATTCCTCTACCTTTTTTTTTTAAAGCAAGGCACCTTAAGGGGAAATCCCTCCAAATTGAAACCTTCCTGCTCCTTACCTGATGGGGATGATACTTAGGCAACCGATGATGCAAGACAAAATGAAACAGAAGCCGCTGTACCAGTCCAGTGTCCATTGATATATTTTGTTGTAGAGTGTGGATGTCACCACTCCAGTGATCACTAATGCCAGCTGCAGCAGGACAAATGCCTTGGCTGTAAACAAACAGATAAGTCATTGCTACCAGCCAAAGTGTATATGAACTCACTGAAAGAGCATCTGTGGACATGCCAAAGTTACTGAAAGGTCTTTTGGATGGCTTGGAAACTGTGCAAGCAGCCATTCTCACTTGGGAACTGCCCTGTCTTAAATGAGGCTTTGAATATGGGCAGATGCAATAACTGCATCAATTTCAAACGATGCTGACAGGAGCTCTTGGGATGTAACTTGTCCCTACAGGAGACTTTGTATTCTTCCATAGCAATATAAGCAACCTAATGGAACAGCTACACCATAAGCATTTGTATCTATAGCAAATGCTATTAGTATATCAATCATAAGGTTGTCCATAGCTTCAGTCCTACCTGGCAGCTGGTTCTTTGGAGGTGGAAAAACTGTAAAATGGTTGCTTAAGTAAGGGCTGTTTTGTATGTAGCAAGAGTTTAGTTTCTCCCCAACCAGTTCTTAATCCTCCATAGAGGTCATTATGCTGCTCACAGTGAGCTGTTGTCATGAACACAAATTTAGTTTCATAAGCAGAGGTGGGGCTTAGAATAAGACTGCATTAGCAAATACTCCCAGGGTCTGAATTTAGCTGCTAGATAATGAGTCAAACCAAAAACCCAGCACTGTACACCTCCACAACTTAGGATCAGGTGCAAATGGAAAGGTTTGATTCAAACCATGCATCTTTTGCAGGATCAAAGGAGATCTGGGGCTGATCCTGTTATGGGAGGGGTTTTATGTCAGTCAAACTCCTGAGACCTACTACAATACTGACAAAAGGGTTGTTCTGATTCTTGAAGTGGAAGTTTTCTGCCAGAGTACTAAAGAAAAGAAAATTACTGAATTGCTAGCTAAGCTGCTGAGCCAAGTTTTTTGGCATAATAAACTAGTTTTTAACCTAAGGTCATATAATATAAACTGCTAGGAAGGTGATTTAAAAAGTCAGTTGAATGACTAACTCATTCAAAGTGGAGAAGCCAAGTGGGAGTTCTAAAGAAAAAGTAAGAAAAGGATGACTATGAAAACGGACATGCTGATGAACACAGTATCCAGGAATGCCTGGTTCACTTTATTATATCAAGGAAGAGACATCTTTTGTTCATCTGCTTTACATGAAATATATCTCTGTTTTGAGTTATTTACATGTTAATTAAAGTAGCTTTAATTGATAACTTCCAACGCATTATCCCTTTTTTCCCTTCAATTTCTAAATTCCTTCCAGAGAGAGCTTTTATACAAGCATCACTTTTGCTAGACATTGTACTTGGTGGCAAAGCTACATGTTTGAATGTCTACAGCCCACTAGTTTTCTTCAGGAAGGTAACTAAAAAGTACATATGTAAAAACCAGACTAAAATGGCATAATATTCATAACTGTCATAATAAACCTTCTGGCTGTGGTAGCTGAAAACGGGTCTAAAAACAGAAGGAGACACTAACAGGAGGGAACAGGGTGACAGATGATCCACTCACCCCCTGTTCATCCTATAGCATCAAAGTTTTTCACTGATGGAACTGCCTAAATATTTCCTTCCCCTTCTCTGAGCTGGATGCATTGGTGTTCAGTGATCTCCTAGAGTATGTGGGGAAAGCGCTGTTTGGGCTGTCTTAAGTGGATAAGCAACTGAAGAAGTCTGTGCAGGGTGCCCTGAACAAAACAACCTAATTTTGCAGATGGCTTTCCTGGGTTCTGATTGCTATGATTTTATTATACAGCTTGCAGTTGGCAGCAATTACCACATAACTTGCTCTTGCACACCGTGCTAATTGCCAGAGACTCAGCTGAGGGTGTTCTCCTTCCCCCCCCAACACTGAAATCAGTATACTCACTGTAGGATGATCCTTCTATGTGTTTGGACAACACCGATCTGATGGTTGGTAGAGGAACGAGTGCAAACAACATCACTGCCCGAGCTGTAAAAATAAAAGGGAAGACTTATTTCCTGTTAAAAGAGCCTGTTCCCTAATGCTCTACCCCTGAAGAGCAGGCAGTTCATATAGTTCACAAGCAACAGCAATTTACTGCAGATCACCTAGTAAATTGTACAGTATGGTTCTGTTACATAAGTTTTATTTGGCTCGCTTGTGGTCCTGTGATATTTTAAAATATGATGCAGTGTAGATTTTTGTCCCATTCCAGCAGTTGTCTGGTGGGAAGAAGAAGCCTGCTCCAGGTGGCAGCTAGAAGAGTTACTCTGCAAAGTCAAGCAACAACATGCACGCTCATTGAACTGGAGCATGGTTCCACCAAGCTGAATGGACGAGAGCCCCCAGATGACTCTTCTATTCAGCTTCTTTACTGGAGAGATGCCTCTGGCATTGGTTTGTCCTTTTGGTAGAAGGACAAACCAGTTGTAAGGCTGTAGGAGCAAGAACTCTTTTTCTCTTGTGTGTAGCACTAACGCATGTGGGTAATGGGCCAGGGCTAGGGTTCTTGGGTGCTGTCACCCTACAAGTAATTAGCATCTTACAAACCAAGCAGCACCACAGGTGAGTGATAGAATCTAGCTAAACTGGCTGCACTTGTGTTTTTGGTTGTCTTACCTTCTGAAAGCCTCATCCCCAAAGTGGATTTCACTTATGTGTGGAATAAATCAAACCACCTAGAAGGCTCACTTGATCTTTTGGTTTTTCAGCTACACATCTAATACTCTGACCTCTTTTCATAAGGAATGGCTTCCAGTGGCCTTTCCATACTCTTTTGCATTGATACAAAAGGCATGCTGAGCATGCTGTCCCTCAATACTATGGTTGTGTGAATACTCTAACAAAGAAATGTATGGGCTGCATGTCGTGGCCTTTGTCTCTTCATAAAATAAGCTTTCACCACGTGGTTACACAAGGATGTAGTCTTTTTTCCCGTGCAGAATTGGAGTGTGAGAGATTTAGTTTGAATTCATAGTTAGAAGGTTCTTCCTAAAAGGGTCGTTAAGCACTAGAGCAGGTTACATAGAAAGGCTGTGAAATCTCTCTGTCCTGGAAACTTTTAAGTGCATGTCAGACTTGGTTGTATTGATCCTGACTCGAGCAGGCTTTGGACTAGATGGACTATATGGCTCCCTGTCTGACCGTTTTCTCATGATTTCAAGTTAGTCCCTGTCTGTTTGGGGGTCTGGCTATTGTCATGTCTACTCCCTGTCCATTTAATTTCAGTGTAATATATTAGGGGATAAAATGCTGGTACATTTTAAAATGTGACCGGATCTCAAATGTCTAAATTTCTCTATCAGCCATATGTCTTATCATTGTTCCATCCTCTCCCTTTCTCTGCCCCAAAAGAATCTAGCTCTATGAACACAAGACATTAGATGCCTCTGTTTCTTCTTTGTCGGAGTAAACAAACTTTTCATCATCATTGCCTAAGGCCAGCTCTTATGCAAAGCAATAGTTCACATAGTTTCTCAGCTATGTTGTTTGGCTTGCATTCATGGTTGTGAAGGATTTTAACTCTTACACACCCTGCACTAATTACATATTGAAGTGGGACAGAGTCTATTTAAAAGTTCTGAGCATTAGTTAGTGCTTAAAACAAACATGGGATGTTTTAAAAATGGATAGCTAAAATGCTCTAACCCCTCCTCAGTCTTGGAACATAGGGTTGAACAATATTAATCCAACAAGGAGAGGGGGAAAGAGGGTCCTGAAATGAACACTTAGTTGTGAGGGGCTACACATGTGCTAAATTTTAGTTGAGGGTTTGAGAATTGCAACTTGGGATCACAGGCCTGCCTCCATCTGAGAAGGAAAGGGGTCATAGGTCTGCTTTGGTCACTCCTTTGGCCACCTGCCGGAGGTGTGAACCCCCTTGTTACACGACAGCAACGATGGCTGTGAGAATACTGAGTGTGTGGAAAGGGAGAGGCAGAAGAGGAGGATGTGGTTTATCACACTGAGCATAGTTTTGGCTCCCTGATGGTTAAAACCTGAGGAAAGATTGTGTGGGTGAATAATTTACTCAAGCTGGAAGATTTCTTTTGGAAGCAAGTTTGAATTTCACCCCCAGATGCCCAGCATTTCCTGCTCTGAGGTTTTCAGTGAAATAAACAGCCCTGTGCTTTACCCTATGAGGAAGCAGACCAGTTAAAAATCCCTGTGCCCTGCCCCCCCCCCCCCCCCCCCCCCCCCCCCCCCCCCCCCCCCCCCCAATGCCCTCGACCACTGCCTTTCTCAGCCTGTCTGGCAACACCTGGTATATTAAATCATCAGCGTTCATAGCCCGTGGCTGCAGCCAGCTACAGAGAGCAGTTTAACTCACCGATGTAGAACTGGAAAGTCCTTCGCACAAAGGCCATGATGAGAATGCCAGTACTGAAAGACAGTATGCCGATCGTGATCATGGTAGTGTCCCTTAAGTATTTGGAGAACAGAAACACTCCCAGGAAGCTGGTGAGGAAGATCACGTAGCCAGCGGCATTGCCGTAGCCAACCTGAATCCCGTTCCAACTTAAAGGTTCCTTGAGCACAAAGAGCTGGAGCACGTCTATGCCTCCCGCAACCGCTAGGTCATACATGACAGCCCCCACAAAGAGCATGGCGATGATGAGTTTCGAGGGCATCACAGGTGTGTGGCCTTCCTTCTCACAGGAGCCCCAACTCCCTACAGTCCTTTCATCAGGTGGCAGTGGGCTGTCAAGCTGATTTACATCCTTGGCTTTGCTGTTATCTGCCAAAGCTGGGTGGGTACCTTCCAGTTTGGGGACTTGAAGGACAAAGAGGCTGTAGGTGAGGCAGAAGGCATAGCAGGCAATGCTGCAAGCCACAAGCACAGTGCCCTGGCGGTAGCTGAGGTTGAAATGGACAAAGATGTGCCCAGATGCAATGCTTCCCAAGAAGCCTGCCATCCCATAGATCAACTCGATAATGATGAGCCGCAGAGACCTCCTGCTCTCCGAGGAGGCCAGTGACCCTAGAGCCATGACACTCGCCCAGTAAGTAGTGAAGCCTCCGGTCAGGCCATTTAAGGCAGCAGCTCCATACATCACCTCGATCGGCCACTCAAGCAGGATCAAAAGGAGCAGCAGGGCCCTAGAGACCAGGTAGCCCAGGAGGGGCAAGCAGATGGAGATCTTCCTGTTCTTTCTGTCCCCAAGCTTCGCCAAACCATAAGCTGACACCAAGGGGCTTAGGCCCAGGACCAAGTTGTAGATGATGTAGAAGTTAGAGACTGCTTTCTGCTGTCTGTCCTCAAGCAAATGTGCTGGGGCGGTTGAGTTGGTCCAGTTGTAGTAGTTTTTCACCACCAGCAGCAGTCCTGTGTCATAGAATGAGCTGGCTACCTGGGCACCAGCAACCACTGGCTCAATCCAGGTCCGTATTTGCATCACCTCAAGCATGATGTCTGCAGGCTAATCTTCCTCTGGGCCTGCTCTGAGGAAATGTCCTGGAGAAAACGGGTCTAGCTGTCTTGCTTTGTAACACACACAAGGCAGATAAAAAGGCCTGAAAATCAGTAGAGAAGCAGAGTCATGAGAGAGCAACTCTGACTGCCAGGATGTATCCCCTTCACATACACACTGCTGATGATTTGTGCCATCTCCCTGCCCATGCCACAGAAGCTTTTATATTGATGACGCATGCCTCATTACACCCCCTCCCAGGGTGCTGCTGCTACTCTTCCTGGTATGAATTCAAGAGGCCACATGGTCAAAAGGAAGTTCAGTGTCATGCTTTTAGGAAGTGAAAATGCCGAAGCTGTGTCTTATAATCCTTTTCCCTGCCTTGTCACGTCCCTGATGTGAACAGCACAAAAGGAACTTCCCCAAAGCGATGGTCACCTGTCAGTATAAGGAGTGATAAGAGCTGGGGCTGGGTCACCAAATGCCTTCTTGCCCTACTACACCCAGCCTCTCTCCAGCATTGCAGGTATATTGCTGGTATTTTTAAAGCAAGATTCTCTTCTCCACCCAAACTCACCCCTCCCCCAAAGACAGGTAAATCAATACGAACAACAAATCTTACCAAGACGAGCAAAGCCTAGCCGTACCTCATCACCTTTCCCTGCAGCTACTTTCTGTGCTTCTCTGATGTGGGAAATCCAGGAGGGAGAGCTAGAGGTCCTGATATATCCAAAGGCAAATCCTAAAAATAGTTTCCCGTCCTCAGAAGTTGAGTAAGGAGTAGAAGGGTGAGCCACAAGTGGTGAGTAAGAGGATATTGAGGACTGGGAGAATGGGAAATGTTTGGCAACCCACTTTCTGGCAGGCCAGACACCTGGAGCGGTGATGCAATTGTAAAAAGTAGGCTGACAAGCAGGGCCTGGCATGGGCTACAAAGACCATTCATACTTGTGCAAGATCTTGTCGCCCTGCCGATTTTGCATCTCACAGAAAGGTTTTCACTGTTTGTCTTGCTCAGCCCAGCAGCTGTGGATCATGTCTCCTGCTGAGAGAGGTTGTCTGTGACCTATCTGCCCCCTTCTCCGTGCTCTAGTCCTGCCTGGAGTTCCCCTTCCCTTTTTTTCCACATAGGCCATCCAGCCCAAATCCTGCTCAAGCCAGGATTATCCAAACCAAACGTCTGACCTGCACTTAAAAGCTTCCAGTCAGGGAGATCCCACAGCCTCTCTAGGTGACCTGCTCATAGTTGGAAGGCTCTTTCCAAAATCCAACCTCAATCTCCCATGCTCCAGTTCTGCAGAAAATAATGTCTACATCCTTCTGTAACCATGTAGTGGTAGCTCTATTAGTTGGGATGCTGAGTGTCAGCAATGAGGGGCTTTGGCTCAGCCTCTCCAACCTGCTTCTGTGTAAATGTACCTTCATTTTCCTCATTGGAGAGGGCTGTTCCCCTGTCACATAAGTATTTGTCTGGCAAGACAATACTTTGAATGGTTGATTTAGATGAAAATGACTGGCCGTCTGTCCAGCTGAATGGATCATCTCTAGTGCTCTCACCAGCCCTTGTTACTGACAGTATAAGACATCATGTTAATACGAACTCACATGTTTTCATATGATACTGATGGCAGTGCCCTAGCCAGCTCTGGACCTGGCAGTGCCAAGGCACTGGTGCAACAGTGCATGAGGAATATAAATAGAAACAAACCAACAAAAGTAGGGAGTGTTTTGTACCTGCCAGTTCCAAGTAAAGTGGAATGAACCAGTCTTTAATCATTTTGTTAATTACAGGCGTGACTAAGTTTAACAGCCAAGACTGAACACCTTTCTCCTCCACCTCAGCACTGCCAGAAGGAGGGCAGGAGTAGGATGAACACAGTCAGTAACTAAATCCAGCCCAAGCCCTTGAAGGTCAGGAGGGGAGCTGGGACATTTCACAGGGTTTCACTGCACGGTGAGCTCCACTTACAAAATGCGGTCGTTGTGTTTTTGCACCAAGACATGCAGCTGATGGGAGATGGGTGCAAGGTGAGGAGGGACCAGTTGCCAATGGAATTTGATCTTTGTGTCATCGTGTCCCGGGGCTGGAGGCATTTTGGCTGTTGGGATGAGCTTTGCCAGATCTCTTCCATCTCAGAAACAAAAACAGGTGAAACGGAGGCAGAACTAGGTGCAAGGATGAGTAAAGGGGCACCTCTGTACCTGAATAAAGGACAGAAACTCTAACAGAAAAGGGGTGTGAATAATTGTATGAAACTGAGTAAAGACAAGGATTATTTAGCCTGACTTCTGTACCTTGCTTCCAGCTTTTGCTATTTCTGAAGATGGAGAGCAGACACCAATCCTGATAGTGCAGGCTCCAATTCAGCTTTAGCAGGATTGCTCAAGAGGCAGAAGCATGGATCTGAACTGGGATCCCAGTGGCCTTGGCCCACAGTGCCCCTTGGTGCAGCCGGAAAGGCCTCTGTCATGCAGGCGCAGGTGGATGTGGAAGGGGAAAGGGAACTGTGTGAACTTGTGAACTGGCCAGAGATGGGTGCTCTATTGCCCAGGTCAGGGTTACTCCACCCAGGACTGAAGTGATCCTCCTGGCTACCAGAGCTCCGACTGTCCAGGGCAGAAAAGGCCACTGTATCCGCCGACTGACAGCTGTTGTGCAGAAGAGGTTTGCCTTTTCTGAGGGAAGTGTTGAGCTCTGCACTGAGAAGGTGGCCATGAGACATCTGTGCACTATTGCCCAAGCAGAGTTGCTGCATTACAAACTTCTGGAAGGCTTAGCAGTGTGCCAAGCCTGCTAGGGTGTCCCCCACTTTGTCATGGGAAGTGGCACCCAGGGTTGTGAGGTGCTTGTGTCTGGCAAACTCTGAGGCTAGAGAGCCAAGTCCATGAAGTTTATGGATACCTTGAAGATCAACAGTGGAGACCCTGTAAACTACTGCATCGATACAGCCAGGCACCACATCCTTCTCAGGCAGTGTGCTGATATCAGAGAAAAGATCATGCTGCCTTGGGACCCCCAGGAAGCCCCTGCCAGACCATGTCAGCACTTTGGAACCCAAAAGGGAAATCTTGCCCATCGCCCCAATCTCAGAGCAGAAAGGTGGCAAACCAGAACAGCCAGCCATGCCTCGGCCAGTCCTTACAGCCCGGGGGGTTTGTTGGCACCTGGAATGAGACACTTGACTGCACCCAGTGGAAGTGTCCTAATAAAATGATAAAAAAACCTGTGCCTAAGGTCTAGGAATATGTGAAATGAATGAAAAACAAAAGTGGGCATTTTTCTGGGGTGGCTCAAGTCAGATGTGGGAGCCTGGAGTTGAAAAAGGTTGAGAGCCACTGTCCGAGCATGATACATCATAAATAGCATTAGCTACCTTGAGCCCTAAGGCAGGATGTCATCTTGCTGCTGCAGATGTGCAGTTCCAGTGTCCCTCCTGCTGTCCGTGACTTTTCCATACAGGAGCAGCACCCAGTGCCGAGTACAACTGACAATGGTCCCATCAGTTTTCTGGCCGCTGTTCAGAACCCTGTGGGGCAGGGAAATGGTCAAGAGTCAGTCCAAGCCCTGATACATTTGCATAACGCCTCCTCTGTCATTGCCACTTGGACATGATTTTTAGTGTGATATATCAAGTGAACTCCTCCAGGCTTGATTAAGGCTTGTCTTTTTCCAAGTTCCCTCACAGGGGTGCTGTTGAGATGCTGATGGAAATCCTTTTCACACTTTATTAGGACACTTGCAGAAGTTGCTGGTAGTTTTGTGGGTAGGTTAGTGATTCAGTACAAGGAGGATTGCTGTGCTCTGCAAAACCAGATTTAGCTTCATAGCTGTAAGCCAGAGGTGTAACATGCTATTTTGATGCCCTGGGCAGAGGGGAGTTGGGGGTGGGTTGGCAGGGCGGGAGATTTGCTGAGCACAGGTGAATGGGGGCAGAGGGACCAGGCAGAATCATACCTGCAGGGCCATGGGCTCAGCCAGGCTTGCTTGGGGGTGAGCCTGTTACCTCTAGCAAACCTGAGGCAGGAGCCCCTTTCTCAGCCTCACTCCCCCTTCCCTTGTGTGGCTGACAGCTGCTGCATTTACAGTTGCTGTCAACTTCTGTCGGATGTGGCCGGGTGCTAAGTACGTTCCCCATTCTGGTGCCCCTCTGGCTCCATTCCAGCACACCTGTTAGGCCGTGTCTGGGGAGCATTCCCCTGGTTGCCTACCTGGTTATGCTGCTGCGTGGAGCAATTGGGTGGCAGCTACTTGGTGCAGGGGGCAGGCGGGAGACTCACCGCTTCTGAGCAGCTCCCCCCATCCCCTGCACCCTCACAGCCCCACACTCCTGCCTCCCCCACCCCCAGTCCCTACTTATCTGGGATGTAGCCCAAGGTCTAAGTCACACTGGAGGCTGCACCGGTCCCCTTTGCCCCGCATGGGGAGGAGCGTGTTGAAGCACCAGGGCAAGGGGCAGCTGTAGAGATGCTCTGGCCAGCTACCAGGGTGTCTCTTTGGAAGACCCCAGCCTCTGGTTGCTTAAGAGCATGCTACAGAAGTGTGTCTTGCCCCACTTTTTTTCCATTTTTTTTTTTTTTGATACCTGGATTTCTAGGTATCAAATTTAGAGCACACTGTGCAAATATGCAGCACAGGGAACATTTTTTTTGCTCCCAGCATGCCTTTTGCGGCATCTCAAACTGCTTTGAGACTGCAAGAGGCAGGTGTGCACTCATCTGGACTGGTCTAATTTGTTTCTGAGTTGCACTGTCAGTCAATGTTGTTCTTTTAGACTATAGTCAGGAATCATTTCAAGGGAGATGTGTACATCCTTCTGGTTTTACTGTCAGCCTAATTAAAAAGGACAGGGTAGTTAATACCTGTTTTGATCAGGTTTTGGAGAAGTGGTTCAAGGAAAACTGGTTGTGTCCAGGAATAAATGATGAGAGGCAGAAACTGCCTTGCAGTACTGCTAGTTCTGAAAAGCAAAGCTACCAGACAGTGTGTACACGCTGTCTTTAAAATGCAAGAGCCAAACAATAGCTAAAATGTCAATTCTTAGTTTTGCTCCAGCTTCTTTTATTTTCCATTTATGATTAGGCCAAAGCTCAAGCAGAACATAACTTTGAACTGTTTGAGGCTAATGCTCTTGGAGTGCGTACTATAAAGAAAATGTACGATCATCTTCTGTCATCAGTGCTACAAACGTGCAATTCCATGCCTGAAAGTTAAAGGGAAGGCTTGTAAATAAGCACTTATTTCTGCAAAGTTCCATTAAGGTTCCTGCAATGATACAAATAACATCTGACCTTCAGATGCCAGCTTAGCTTAGTGTGGTTTTTGCATCCAGTCTAGTCCACTGTAGTTTGAGGTTTCAGCACCGGCTATTCCTTCAGGTGCTGTGACAACAGCAACATGACAGGAAAGCTTGTGTCTGAATATTGAGCCATTTTCATTGACTTTGAAGCAGCCAGATAATGCTTTCATTGATGCAGTAATTGGTATCAAACACAGGAAGTTTAGCTGCAGACTGTTTTCTGGTAGTGAATAGGCCTCATGGAGTTCAGGGCATTGCCAGTCAGAGGCTGATCGTTTTGCATTCTGTACTGGAGAAGAGAAGATACCGTGGTATGATGTGATTGCCATCTGTGGTCTGCATTTCAAGTCTTGCATACAAAAGTCTCTACTGATGTTTCTCCCTAAAAGTGTGCCTTCTCCCCTACAATTATACTTGCAACAGTGATCACTGATCCTTAAGCCCCAGTGAGGTTTTCTCCATGGTGCATGAGTGGGTGAAAACCTTCCCCCAGTATTACCATTGCCATCTGGGATACCTTCCTTTTTACCCTGCACTAACTTGTTGTCTGGCCTCTCTTCAGTTCCTTCTCAAGATCCATATATTACCCTATTATGTAACTTGTAAGCCCAGCCTCAGATGGGAGAGTCAAATTCTGTTTACTGCTTTTCTAAGACTCATGCCCCATCTTTATCAGTGTTGATGCTCCTGCACGAATTATACTGTTAAGAGTCACTTCCTTAGTAGTTTAGGCCAGCAGTAATGGAAACCATCAGAAAGTCCCAGCGGTGCAGAATTCCAGCACCTTTATGACAGGGCAGGCAAAACTGTTGCCTAGTGGGTCTTTAATGGTTGCAGAGGAAGTCTTAAAAATTTTCCCAGAGAGTGTCCTAAAAAGTAACCCCCCTGAATTTCTTACTTAAATGCATGATAACTTACTTCTCTGTTCTGACTCTTGAATAACAGAGGTTGGCAATACTGCTGGACACAGGCGGCTTCAGGATTGTCACCTCTATGATATCTTCAGGCCATAGTTTCTTCTTTTCTGGTGCAAGACACTTGAATTTCCATTGAATGGCAGCTTGGAAAGTGCCAGTGGTGCACTCGCTTTGTTTCATTTGTGTTTCAGTGCAGGGTACAGAATAGCACACTATGCCCCCTTTATTTTAGATGGTTATTCCCCTGCTTCTCCTTGAGATGATACTTAGGGACTTGCCCACCCCTGGAGTTTGAATCTCTAGTTGCCTTTGGTGATGTGTTGCTGAGTGCTTAGTGCTCTCATTGAACTGTTCTGGTTTGTAATCTGGTCATATTGTCTTTCCCATGGATTTCTTAAGTGGCCCAGTCTGCTGTGTTTTTATCTCTGATCACTTAGGAGAAAAAAATAATTATTCAGACATTGCAAGGAGAGATTATTGACTCAGTGTCATCTGGGGTAGCTGAGCCATGAGGATGACTTTTAGGAATAACTGAGGTTTGTGTTTGGCCTTGCTGAGTAAGAGGTTGAAGATGAGAGGGAGGAGAACATTGTGTGTGTTTCTGTGCGTGAATATGAGAGGTTATTTGTGATGCATCTCAAAGCTGTAAATGTTCTTCACCAAAAGACTAGCACGCAAGCTCTTGTATAAAAAAGCTGTCTCTCAGGGATTAATTTATGTCAATACAGGATATGGAATATTGTTTGTCCTCTTCTGTCTCCTCCATGTGAGGTTGTTCAGGCAAATGTTGAACATGGGTTTTGAATTCCCCTGGCAATACTCCCAGATTGCTTAGTGTTACTGAAATAAGCTCTTTTACACAGTTACTTCTTGTTTTTTCATGTGATTCTGAGAAGGTAGGTTTCTGTTCAGTCACTGGAATCTCTGTCTATGAGGCAGGTGATTTCATGGCAGCCCATGGAAATTGATTTGAATTATGTTCAGTTTCAGAGTCCTCTGAATGATTAGTATTGTAAGTAGCAAGGCAACATTCCTGTGGTCTATAAAGACCCTGTATCTGTGCAGAAGTCTTTTTTATTGGAAGACCTTTGCAGCTCAAATGTGTTATTTCTCTTCTAGTTTTTCCTTTCCTTCTGATGAGCAGAAATTCATTCCCTGACATCATCCTGTCTTCTCTCTCTTGTCTTGTAGCTCTGTGTTTTTGAAAGCATTAGGGAGAAATGACTCCTTAGCCCTTACCCCCTTAGCCAGGCATAGAGAAAAGGTAAGGGGCTGG